AAACAACACTCAACCAACAGCGCCTTATGCAGATGTCCACAGAAACCCGCTGTTCAAGAGCGAATGCTGCAAGGCATGCTTGCACTATCTGTAAAAACATCATCCTGCAGTCATGGAGGCACCGACAGGCTCGGTCAATCGAGTTGGCTTAAGTGAAGCCAGACTCGCTTGTTCAGATCAACAATGAAGCACACTAATGCTCGGCATCATTGTTTCAGTGTAGGGGATTTCCGTAGTGGCCAATGGGATTTCACTTTGCGGCTCCAAAGACATAGTTGCCGACCCCTTGGAAAGCGTAGAGCACGATATGGGCATGTTTACACCTCGTCGGAGTACACAAATATGTAGGCCACGCCCAGAACAACGAGTGGTCGGTGACTCTTGGGTACACCACCCATCCAGGTGTTACAGTACGTCTCCATAAGACAGACCCAAATGGGTGTGGATCAAAAATAGGTCCCCAAAATGCAATACTGGTAAATGGAAGCAAGGACTAAAACCTGCGGTCCCCTGCTTCAATTTTGACCCATGACATGGCCTTTGAGCCAACATCATTCAGGGCTCAGATCGAGGACCCTGATGCAACCTGACAGGCTTCCAAACCGCTTCCTTTAGGGTCCTTGGACTGAGAACATTTTGGGGAGATACCCTCCCACCGAGCATGGAACCTGTACAGGTGGGTCCGGGTTTGGTCCTTTTAAAGGGACCGGGTGCCTATGAGGTTCCATAAGTCCCTATAGTCATCTTTGTTTGTGGTTTCTTTGATGGTTATCCCATGCAAAGGACCTTTTGATCAACAAGTCCCTAAAACTTGACAAGAAGTCCCTACAATTAACAAGTCCCCAACACAAGCCCAAAATTATGCTCCAAACAACCTAGGTCCTCCAGTAGAGAGGTTAGAATCAGGGTCCAACTTTTTCCTGTAGTCTATTTTAGTAGGGGGGTTCCCTCCCCCCAAAAAGGGTTTTCAAGGGCACTAAGGTTGACCCAGGATTAATAAACCCGTCCCATTATTAGGGGGTTGTTCCCTCCAAAAGTGGTCTGAATCCCCACTAAAAGGGGGACACCCCCCCAATCAACATCAACCTCCGGGTTCTGCTTAGATCCGGAGTTAACATTACTGGGGCACCCAGACGAGTCCCCAAAACCTTCAAAACAACAACCAACGACTTGCGCGCTCGCTCGTCTCCTTCGACTCGACTTGAGGCTGCAGCGCTCACAGAGCTCTGCCAGGCCTGCGACGAGACCCAGCAAGGAGCTCCTGACGGGCGCCAGGCGGTTTCGCCTGCCCTATGTACCCAAGGGGTTTGTTGTTTGGCTTTTTGTCTTTTTTTGGGGGGGTCGTTATTTTTCATGCTTCTTCTTGCTTTTGGTTTTCCTTCTCTTCTTTTTTTTTTGGGGGGGAGGTCGTTTCCCTTTAATACCCAAAAGGGGTACTTTAAAAAAGACGTGCCCTGCCTTGTTCGCCTGTTTGACCTTGCCTGTTCATGAAATCTGGCCGGTTTTCAGTTGGCTTCTCAAGCACCAGACAAGCAAAGACCTTTGACCCCTCTTGACAGGGGCAAATGAAGACAAAAGACACCACACAAGTCAGTCAAGATTAACACGTCGTACTCGTAATCTAACCAAAACTAGTGGTATTTCAACAATCAATGGGAATGAACGTTGAACCTATTCATGGTTGGACTGTCGCCTAAACTTTAACTGCTGCACGTGGAAAGCTTCCGAACTGCAAGCCTACGCGAGCCCCCCGCATCAGAATTGCCTCCGTGGAGGCAAGTCAGTTGCGATCGTTGTAAGTTCAATCATTGCATCAGCCGCTTCAATTGAAGCCAAAGGTTGCCCAAGAAAAGCAAGGCTGAACGTCACCGTTGTGCTGCGTTCGGCTTCCCGGCTGAAATTTACCACGCACATCCCTAATTATAGAAACTTTCATTTGCCAAAAAGACCTTCAGAAGGCAGGGCAACGTCCATCTGCAGTGTTTCAAAGAATCTAACCCGACAAGAAGATGGGCTCCAGAACACAAATGGGATCATGTTGGGGCCGCTTTGCATCCCGAGGTCGCTGTTAGAACAACATGTGTTCGACGGAAAAGAATCCTGGCAACAAAAAAAGGGAAACAAAAAAAAAGGGCAAACAAATTCGGGCAAGCTTTGGACATGATTGTTGAGTTGCCCAACACTGTTTCTCGGCTCGCTTTAACAGCTTTTGGGGTTGGGGAAACTCCCAGAGCTCGAAGGCTTAAAGGCCTCAGATCTCAAACCATCTTTTTGCACGTCCCATTTTACGAGATCTTCTGATAAGAAGGAAGTAAACAGTCACAAGGGGTTACTCCACAAAAGGCCCTTGTCTCCTTGTGCCGGTGAGATTTGCCTGCATGTCCAACTTGTCTTGAAAGCTGGGGTGAAATTCCCAAAGTTCAGCCTGAACTGTTTGCGTCTAAAGGTGGCTCATCCCAAGCCCAAGCAATACTAAGCTAAAAATTATAGGGGACATGTCCCCATTCTCTCCAGGGATCCGAATTTTCCCAGAAAACCATCAGAATCTTAGGGGAAGCAGCTGGTTTTTGAAAAGAACGATGGTTGAAAATAATTGGGAATCAACGCCCATAAGAATGTACACAATTTAGTATTGGGACTCTGAGGGGTAAGTCTTGGCAACACTAAATTCGGAATTTGACATACTAAAGCAAGTACTCGGATGACCTACTAATCTAGAATTGGCGATATTAACTCAAGCACTCGGACACTGAGGGGTAAGTCTTGGCAATACTAAACTTAGAATTGGCAGTACTAAAGTAAGCACCGAAAATCTGAGAGCAAGTCTTGGCAATTCTGAAGCAAGTCCTAGCAAGTCGAAGTCCAACCCAGACTTCCAAATTTCTCACTGAAGAGGACCCCGGGACTGGTGGCACTGTTCGGGGGGGGGGGGTATTGAACCAGCCCCAACATTGTTGAAGATCAGGGAAATAGATGATCAAAGCCTTCAACCCAGAAAGCCCATGATTGAATAATTCCCCTCCACAACAATCCAAACTTCAGCCATATGTCCGGACGATTTACCCGACCATCAACTCATTACGACATGGACTGCGACATGGACTGCGAGAGAGAGAGATGGCCATGCCACTTTCCCACGTGCTCATGTCATGTACACAACATGATGTACCAATTTCATGTCTTCTCACGTACCTACTGTCGTTGGTTTGTTCTGCTTTAAAAATTGGTCAGCAGCTCGGAACTGAGTCAGGTAGAGGCGCATGGACCATTGAGGTGTCCCTGAATCCAACCCTGGCCATGTGCCGACCCTGTTCCTCCAAAGCTTCGTGTTGTCATTTAGGTTGATCTAAGAACCCTCAAACGGGGTCAAACAAGTGGCGTGCCAAGCGAACCAAGCGAACCACGGCCGTCCTCAGCGCAAATCTGAAAAGAGAGGCCATGAAGTCGAGTCAAAACTGCAAGTATTTGGATCCGTATGGGGGATGTGTCACTGTGTGCGGCGTTTGACCGTAAACTTGTTGTTCCGGGCCCCGATCCGGAGATGACTTGGCTGCAAGTCCTGTGGCTTTGGGTCAGCGACTAGCTGTTTTGCATAGCAGTAGAGCCGGTTCAGTTTGTCTGCGGACAGAAGACTGAGAGACGGGGCATGGCAAACCAAAAGACCAGCAACACAGCTCAGCCCTGAAGCAGGAAGCTAGCAAGATGAAACAGGATGTACCCAATGTACATGTGAATTCACATGCACACATGTAAAACACAAATATTAAATATGTATACATATATACCTTGACTATAACTTTAATATAATTGTATCAATGCAAACATCTACAGGCTTTCCAACAATCACGGACACCAACAAGAGGGTCTTGAATGACTATGGTCCTCTTGAAAAGGCCTCCTGTCCACTTCCACCATGTTTTGAAAGAAGGTATATATATATATATATATATGATGTTGACATGTAATTTGCAAGTTTTACGAACTTTGCCAAACTTGATATACTGGATCCTATCTCAAACTATGGAGAACTCGTTTTTGCCATAAATTGGGCATATATGGTCCCGTGTCCCGTGTTGCTACCCCCCCCCCCCCCCCCATATGGTATGGGTCCCCCAGGACCCCCCCCCCCGGCCCGAGACCCCGAGCCCCCGGATCCTGTCACCTACGGTCCCACCCCCACCCCGACCCCCTGAACTCGCACCCCGACACCCCGGCACCCCCACCCCCAGGACAAGCCAACCCGCAACCAACCATAAACTAACCCTAAACTAACCCTAAACCAACCCTAAATACCCCCTAAACCAAACCCTAAACCGTAGACCTCTAAACCTAAACCAAACCTAAATCAACATAAACCAACCGTAAACTAACCCTAAACCAACCCTAAACTAACCCCAAATACACCCTAAACCAATCCCTAAACAATAAACCCTAAACCTAAGCCAACCCTAAACCAACCCTGAACTAACTCTAAACCAACCCTAAATACACCCTAAACCAAACCCTAAACCGTAACCCTAAACCAACCCTAAACCAACCCTAAATCAACATAAACCAACCCTAAACCAACCCTAAATCAACATAAACCAACCCTAAACCAACCCTAAACTAACCCAAAATACACCCTAAATTCTAAACCAACCCTAAACCACCACAACCCAACCACAGGACCACAACCACAGGGGGGGGGGGGTACTTGCCTGACCCATGACCATTGGTGGGGGGGGGGGGGGCTGGCAACGCTGTACCATATATTCAATGAAATGGTCGATGCTATGCATATTGTTCGAACGGTCGTGTCCAGAAACTAGGGAACTATGATCAAGCAAACACACGGACCTAGCCCTCGGCCACCATTTGGGGTATGGGTCACAATAGGACTTTAGCGCTTGGATGTTGTTTTGAACCCAGGTGAAATGGCGCGCCTCACCAAAAGACAGATTCTATTTGCGGCCTCTAATCTGAAAGCTACGGCAATCTGCTGGCGCTGACGGCTTTTTCGGCCAAGACCAGTCCGCTTGGTGAAACTGCCGGGGCTGACTCAGTCACCTGGCCTCAGTAAGGGTTGAATCTCCTGCACGTCAACATGGAACCCCAAAACACTTGGGTTTCTGTTTTATTGTTTTATTGGGTCCCCTCTTTTTGTGGCTGCGAGAAAAACCAGAGTACGTTTTTGGCCCTCTGGGATCATTAACTTTCCTTCAAACAGGGGTTTCTCTGTGGTCCCTTGCTCTTTCCCAGGCCAACTGCTAAACGATTCCGGCCCGGAACATCCCTCATAGACCCATGATGTGTTGGTCGTTGCTATCAGCGTCATTGAATGTTGGCCCGCCTGTCATGCATGGGAAAACATGCCAACATTGTCTTCATACACTGGCACGGTGCTGGGAGATGGCCTGGGCGACAAAGCTTTAATAATAGAGTCCACAAGCAGTGGCCAGTTGGGTGGATGAAGCGATGGACCGATGGGTGAAAGGGCGGAGGGGACCGTTGCCGATGGTTGACCATTTTTGGGTGGGAAGCCCACCAAACAAAGAAGCCACACGTGCTAGTTCTCAGTAACTAGGGACTTTCAAGGGTTCAACTCATTCCTTGCTCAAACCCATGGAACCGTTCGCGTCTAGACCACCGGCTTCAACTGCTCTCAAGCAGCACCTAGCTTTCTGGACCTTAACTTGTGCCCGTTTTTGGGGTTTCCCCTCCCTTTTGGCGAGTTGCTTTATTGGTGTCTTGCTTAAATGGCGCCTTGTTTTGGGTGGGTTGGTTTGAAAGAACGCCAGACGGTAGACACCCAGATTACAGGAACACTCGCACAATCTTCCTAGCACACAAGCTACGCAAGGCAATCATCTGACAATTCAATTGAAGCATGCAGGCACCAAGATCTCTGAACCAAATTTGCAAGACCCAAAACGCGAGACCACCCACATGGGCGCTTCAAAGAGAAGGCCAAATAGGACCCTCACCACACACGGCTGGCTTACTTCTGCTTTCCCTGCACCATGCTCCAAAAGGCAGTTGTTTCAACTGTTGCGGCACCTTTGTATGGAGCTTTGCCGTGTACTCCTTTTCTCCTCAGGCACCAACTCCTCGTCTCCCTCCTGCGCTGAAAGCTTCGCAAATGACAAATTCGGCGTTTGATGCTCTGGAGGTGACAGCTAGTCGGCCCTGCTATCTGATATTGCAAAGAGCATCATCGAATTTGTTGCTTCTCAGATTGAGAGACCCGCATTTGAACAAGGTTTGAAACATGCTTAGGGATTCTCGACGGGATGCACACCCACACGAGAAGGCCCAAAACCTACCATTATCCTCACCATTTGTACTACGTAGTATTATTTGTATATATTTGTTTATGTTGTGAGGCTACCCCATTTTAGGTTAGCTTAAGAGAAACCAAGAACAAGCCCACCATTTTCTTTGGGGGGTTGCCTATTGTGGCACATGCCCAACTTGGCCGGATATTTTTGCTCCCAGAGCTCCGATCCACTGGCTGAGAAAACCAACAAACCATCAGCCCAGCATCTCAGGAGACAAGCTGCCCTTCAAACGTGAATTCCCTTTTACCATGGTCACAAGTTCCGACACCCTTGGAAAGGTAGTAAAACTGGCATAGGGCAGAAGTGGAGGGCGCTGTGCTACCTCCCCCCCAACAAAAAGAGGACGGGCCTATTTGAAACTTGAAACCAAAATGGGTCCCAAAAGAGCCTGTATCTCTGACCAAACGCAGTTGGGACTAAAATTAGCTTTAGTTGGGGGTTGACAGGGCCAACGTGGTTATTGGATCTGGGTCTTCACTGAAGTTTGTGGCCAAAACTCGGAACATACGGGTGGCCCCCGTTGCCAAATTCAGGCGGCCAGTTGGTCTAACGGAATCGCTCTCCTCTTCCGCGATGGCCGGGGGCGGCGCGTCCTGTGCTGTCAAAACGCAGCACCAGAGTCTCCGCATGGGTTAGATCCAGGGATCAAACGTGGAGACCACATAATACCGCGGCTAAGTAAGACGAGCTGAGTAATACTGAGTAGCTACAGGATACGCTCCGTGAAGAAAACCCCAGGAATCCCCAAAAAACATGACAGAGGTATCTCCGTTTAAGGAACCGGACCAGATTGCGGAGTACTATTTCGGGGTCTTGAAAAGACATGGTTCCCTTGAAGCAACTTACAACCCTCTGGCAAGAACGCAGTGAAAGCCCTGTGCTTTCAGTGGCTGGGTCGCCCAACCTAGCAATCGCGATCGGGTTTGCTTTTAACACCGTCAAGTCAAACCAAAGACCCACCTGCCCGGCAGCGGGATTCTTGGTGGTGGGGCGTCCAACGTCGTGATAACAAAAGCAGAAACAAACTCAACAATGTGTGTACCCACCTGCCCGGCAGCGGGATGCATGGTGGTGGGACGTCCAACGTCGTGATAACAAACGAGAAACAAACTCAAAGCTGTGTGTATATATATATATACAACATATGAGTTTACACATGCCTGCGATGTATATATATATATATATATACACATATATGTTGTACATGTGCAATATGCACACACCTCATCCATTTGACAAATGTACAATCCATATGTGAGTCATACAACACCCGGTATTGAAATGGTCTACCCAGATCCATGTAAAGAATTAAGAAGGCGGCCGCAGCTACTTGTGCTTTTGATTGTCCCTTAGTAACCTTCATGCACCCGGGTGTTCATTGTGGCTCATGTGTATACATAAATAAATAAATAAATAAATAAAAATAAATAAATAAAAATAATAAATAAATAAATAAATAAATAAATAAATAAATAAATAAATAAATAAATAAATAAATAAACAAACACATAACAAAATACATATATATATATATATATATAACAATATATATACATATATATATATATATATTATGGAGATATGCATCCATGTCTCCCAGTATATTCTACCCCGGGCACTTCGGCCCCCGCGCCTTGGGCCCCGCGGCGAGGGCCTGGGCAAAACTCCCCCCCCTCCTGACCGCCCCTAGCCGCCCCACTCGCGGCGGAGGGGTCCTGACGGCCCAAAGGACCTGGGAACACGGTCCTTTTAAGGCCAATGGATCAGAAAAAAAACAGCTTTTTTAAGGTGAAGAGTTGGGCTGAGTTTATCCAAGTTTCATGGTTGTGCCAACTTTCACGCCGAAGCGTTTTGGGGAGGGTTGTATGACTTGCAGCCTGCTCACCCACAATTCATGCATTGACATGATACACGGGCCAAATGAGGATTATAGCTAACATTCAGTGGCCGACAGCATGAAGCTCATACAGGCCAGAGCTGCAAGGGGGGACCCACATTTTTCCTGCTTGCGAATCCATTGACACCAACATGACACACAGTGGGCGCACGACGCCAGCTGCAAAGAAGCAACATTTTCCAAACGCATAGGGGCCGTACACAATTACTTCGGGCAACAATCTGATTGCCACCAACTCCGCGACCAAAAGGGCCCCGCAACTCCTTCACACTCAGTAAACCTTCTCTGAGCAGTGTGTGAGGTAACCAGTTTATGTGCCCCGTTCCTTTCAAGCAAACGTTTGGGGCTGTTTCACACTTGATTTCTTTACACATGTTTGACCTGCCTCAGACAGACGGAGAAGGAACAAGAAAATTTGTTTGGATCCCAAACAAGTAGATCCTCCAGCCCCCACTTTTCCTGTCGAATCATTGTTTTGAAGGATCAAGGAAATCCTTCCTCGGGAGGCCTGGTTGACGAACAGGGGAGAGGGGGGGTGGCCCATTTTAGAGGAAGCACACCCCTCAGGTTGATTCATCCGGGTCAACATTACACCTTTCTCTTCAAACCCATGCCAGCGTCCTGAAAGGAATTTCGTCTTGGGCAAAGGTCCATTTGGGACAGGCAAACTTGGACTAAAAAAGCAAATCGTGCACATTTGGATGAGGGAGAAGCGACCGCAACGAAAAGGCCGCCATGATAAGTCTCTGCGTCAAATGACCCCCCATCACGCCAAGCAAGATCACAGGCAAAAACTCAGGGCGAATTGGATCCATTCAAAAATGGTGCGAACATCACTGTCCAAAACATTGTTATTGTCAACGTTGCCATTGGGTCCCAGGGTTGTGGGAATTGCGCGGAAGGCCCTCCCAAGCACGTCAACACATATTTCACTGAAAGGGAATGTACGTGTTTTGGCATGGCAAAGTGGTTTTTCACCACCTTCCCCAACTCAGTTTCTTCTTGACGCACGCATGAACCACAACTTCCGGCCTCCAGAAGGCCCACGAGGTCTTCATCCAACTTCACCGCATCCGCCAGCTGAGCGGTGACATCGGCCGAGTTCGAAATCGGAATCCCAGCAGACAAGGGAGTTTCTGCATAAAGGATCACAAGGAAACCCTGCACAGCACCTGTCCTGATGGGCGAGCCTACCCGAGGTGGGGCTAGACAATTATGAGAGAATGGCATATCTATGCACAGCCAAGCGCAAACACAGCAAACTGGAAACCAACAAAGCACCTGCTGAAAAACCCGTGTCGCACTCCGTGAACGGATCCATGCAGCGATAACGTTCCGGGGCGTCCCTCACCGCTGCAATGGAAGACCATCAGCTGACAAAAGTGAATGACATTAAAACCCCTAGAGGTAGAACATGATAAAATGATAAAACACTTATTGCGAGTAAAACATTTGGCTTCGGCCAAAGATCCCCCGTCAGGTGATTGCCAATGTCCAAAGCACATGGGAAAATCATCCTGACTGGCACAGCCCCTTGTTGAATGTTGGACACACTCAAACAGCTTCCACTTCAGAGGCACTTGAAACAACTCCATGATCTTGCTGCTCAAACCAGTGCCTAAGCTTGATGTTCAAACTCGGAACATCTCTTAATGGATCTCGGGCGCCGACGAGAAAGGTGTCGTGCGGCAACAGATCCGAGTCGATGATGGCCTGTCAGCTTTTAGAGCACATAGAGCCATCGTCCCATACCTGGACCAACCAAGGGCACTTTTTTTGCGACTGCCTGCAAAAATCCGTGCATTTCCTTGAAATCCATACATTTGAGCAAAAACACAGACCCAAGAGCATTCAACTACTTTTTCTACAAGCTCCGGCCCTGGCACTGGAGATTATCATGCTCATGGACCAAGCATTACAATTTGAAGGTGTGCAATTCACCAAGGACAAAAGGTGCGCGTTTCCCCAAGCAAATACTCCGCAGATTTCCGTACTTGTTTTCCGCAGATTTCCGTACTGTTCCCGCCGATTTCCGTGCATTTCCCGCCGATTTCCGTGATTTTTGGCTGAGAAAACTGCAAACTCGCAAAAGCGGCAAGGAAGCTGTCACACATTGCCCCACAGCAATAGGAGACGAATGACCTCAAATGGAATTAGGTATGACGGGCCATGTAAATTGCAAACTGTGTTCATGTGCATCCATGTGCACCACAAACGCTCACAGCCTGCTAAAAGCAATTTCCGTCAAATTTCCTCAAAGTGTACATTGATTTGTTTTTTCTGCATGTACGGAAATTTCAGTACTTTTGGAGGGTTGAGGTACGGCAGTGGGTCAAAAATGCTTACCCAAAATGGGTTGCCCTGATAAAAGGAACCAAAGACTAAAACCTGCAGTCCCCTGGTGAGCTTATTTTGACCCATCGCCCCATATTTGCCTCTTTCATTTATAAATTATACACAACTTACCTAGGCGAGGAATGATGCCCAGTAGAGGAACATGCGAGCCTTCCCTTCTGACAGAGACGGAGTTGAACTTGCGCTTATATCGGCACACGCCGCCCGTGGAGCACTAGTAACAAAACCACTTGCGATTTGTGTCGCCTGCTTGCTGCTGCGCTCATGTACGTCACTTCTTTTTGCAGGGCTAGATCAACATCAGATCCTCTTACAGCCTCCGCGCAACTCGTGAAAGAGATGAAGATACCCAGGCCAGCCGTGACACACACATTGTCACATGGGTTAAACAAATGGAGAGGCTACTTTGGGTTTCCCTCTAAACCAACCCAAAAAGAGTTCCCTCACACATAAACACACCCACCCCACGCGACGTGCGTACATCAGTAAGTGGGGATGGTCACTTATGAGGCCATATTGCCCCACAAAGTTGGTGTGGGGTGCCGTCGCATGACCCGATCAGCACAAGGGTACTATGTGTTGCCCCTGGCAAAGGGAAACCAGTGGAAACCAAAGCAATTTCAGTACCCTTGTGGTTTGATCGTCTTTCAGCCCAATTGGTCAGTGTGCGCAAATGGGTCACTGCACGGTGTGTTCTTCACAGTAGCACTTAAGTGCATCTGACAGGACCAGGAAACAACTGGGCTGGCCGGATTTCCCGATTGTCAAAACTGGGCTGTCCTGAGATGCCGTGCGCAAAGCCTAAAAGCCTACGGGGATGGCTGGGAACCACCAAGATAATTGGGTACCCCCATCTCTGCCGGCCTGCATCAGGTCCTTGCGATAGGGAGCTTCCCCAGGCTCGCAGGACTCTAACCTGCGCTCGAACGGCCATGGGACAAAAACTTCAGGAAACGGCGCGGCTTGGGTTTTGGGGGGTCAGGGAAAAGGGGGCGTGTTTGCAACCACCGTGGGTTCAAACACGCACATGTTTAACACTGCAAGAAGGTGTCGTGAAAGCTTACCATCTGCGGCTGAACTTGTGACTTTGTGGCCGACGTCTGAAAAACACAAGTTGTTTTCAGCATGTTTGTCCAGTGGCTGTATCTTTGGTGGGTGGGATACATTTGAATCCGGAACAACAATCAGTGGAATGAACGCTCAAATTTGCACTGCCATTCCTGAGACTCCACAAATGCGTCACGACTCTCTCAGCCAGCTTCCAGCAGCCCTCGCGGTCGAAAATCATGGCTTTGGGGGAACCTCCCACCCATTTGGGGACACACTCAGGTACCTAAAACCCCTTTTTTTCTAATGATGGAGTGCCCGCTTTCCGCTCGGAAGGGTGAAGGCTCCATCTCCATCTCTGTGGGCAACTTTCTGCAAGTGAGTCTGTTGAACATATGTGCATATGCGTATACTGTACATAATTGTATGCATATCGTTACATATCGCATTTATAGATCAATGTGATAAAACACATTTGGCGACGTTCACAAATCTCCAATCATATACCATCCTGCTAGTATCCATCCATTCCACATGTTACATCCACCGACGCCCCACATACAAACGATTAGGTGGAAAAGCTGGTTGGGCCGATCCGACTTGCCCTGCGCCTGGGCAGAAGGTCGCGCTGCAGCCAAGTCAAGACACTGCCTTCAAGTCCGTCCACCTGGGCTGGCTCTCATGTTTGTGCGTGACGCGCGAGCGCGTGCGCCTTTCGCGGCCAACAGTATGGAGTCCAGAAACTTTGGAACGCCTGGAGGTCTAATGTATACCTGGGATTAGTAACCCGCCCCCCCAACAATGGGCATCTTGAGATCTAGTTCAATTGAGTTTCAAATTGATTTGGTATTGCTGGAGCTTCTTTTGAGTTTACGACGGGCGGAGGCCCCAAGACTTTCTTCCAGGGGCCCCTGAAATAAGGTCGGTTGGATTGTGGGTAGGTTTTAAGCAAAAGCCATGAAAGAAAACATGAGTTTGGGCCAGCTGGATATGGTGGAGTTGGGGAGCAGGCCGAAATATAATTATTCAACTATAGCTAAGATAAAATCACACTGGGGGTCAGGCGGCAAGACTTTTTTGCAGGGGCCTTTGTAAAAAGTCTCCGGCTCAAACTTGGGGGGCCGAAGTACTACCCCCTTTGCGGGTTTGACTGCGGGCAGGTTTTCAGAAAGAGACTTGTAAGAAAACATGATTTGGGGGAAACTGACCATTTAAGACTTTGGGGCTCAAAGCATGTTTGGTGTATGTGTTTAGTTCGTGTTTAACAAACTTGTTGTGCTGCATTCCAGGTGCATTTTCTATTTTTGTTGGGCCACCTGTGTGTCTGAATTCCAGGTGCATTTGTTAATCCTAGGTTGACATTCTGCGCCGGTCCATCCTTGCCAAAGTTCAGAATGAGCTTAGGATCGGCCCTTGATCAAGCTTCAGCATACGGTCCGATTGCCTGAGCTCTTAACCAGCCGAGGCTACGATGTGTGGACTCGGGTTCCCTTCAAGCAGGGAATCCCTTGATGGTTTGGATTGGGGATGTGAACCTGTGGCTCTTGTGGAATGGCAACCCCTGAGCCTCCAAACCTCCAAGCCAAACCACTTGGAGGGCAGCTGATTCAAGGACCATCCAGTATGAGGTTCATTCAAAAGCAAACACGCCATGTATCCATGGTCGTCAGTTCTTTCAGGAAATTGCCCCAGTAGGTTCTTGCTCCCAATTGGATTTGGGATCAGGCCTGCTCATTTTATTGTTATTCCTTTTTAACATTTCATGTGGAGTTAGCAGTTGATAGCTTGCTGAAATTTTTTGGGGAGCGCCCATTTGGGCGTTCAAACGGCTCCCCATGTTGAATCCCCCGGATCGTCTCGGGCTGGCGCGATCTGGCCAAACTCCTCTTGGGTCACGCGAGCGCCGGTGGCCTACACGGGCAGAGAAGACATGTGGCCATGGGTCAACACCCCGTACAGTGAACATCCGATTCAATCCAACCACGAAAATAGGTTCTAAGATGGGTGGTGAATTCACCTACCAACCAAAATGGCACCATTGGTGTTGACCCACGGCCATGAGTTGAGTCACTCATCGCATCAATTCATGGAGCTTCAAATTTATGGTGCTCCTCAACCAAAACACCCGACCGCAAGGCTTCCTCCAAGGCGTCCCATCACCTCTCGCCGCTGAACCGCCTCTCGCCGCTGAACCGCCCCTTCTTCTCTCACAAGCTTCCCATTTTGTCAACGTTAGAATCAAATTCTAACCCCCAAAAGCCCCAGCCTATACCGCCCAAGCTGCGCTGCCCCTCGCAGCCTGCCCCTCCCATAGAGATATTCGGGGTCTGAAACAAACATCGGACAATACCCATGGCCTTTTGGTTTCTTTTGGAACATTTGGCTGTGGGTCAAAACCAATGGGATCCCATTTTGGGGTAGGTGAATTCACCACTCATTTTAGAACCTATTTTAGTGGGGATTGAATCGGATGTTCACTGGGGGTACGGGATTTTGCCTTTTGACCCTTCGACCAATCTGCGCCGCTTCGCCTGGTCCACGTCTTTGTAGAACTCCGGGCGCAGCAGGTCCACCAGGACCTGGCCTGTGGACGGCTCCACCTGCAAGAGCTAAAATTCTCCAAACTCGGCCCGGAGGGATCTTGGTTGACGTTGGAAGGGGAGCACAATTTTTGAATTTTAGCAGTTAAGTAGGGGTTTCCCACTAAACCACAAGAAGCAACAAGGTAAAATGTTTCCAGCAACAACCATGCGATGCCCCCAGACCCAACTGCGGCCCACCAAGATGTGAATAATTTAACGACTCCACTACTTTGCGGAAGTGAATTCAAGTGAAACTACCCAGGCGAACTGAGGCAAACTACATGAGTGCCAGTTGACTTTCTGAACAATGCTTCCAAGACCAAACGCCATTGCAAAATTACCACTCTTGTTGCCTCATCAGTAGGGCTTGAATGAACCTCAAGTGTGGTTCGCGCACCGCCGTAGATGCTCCTTGTTCAGTTGCAGTCTTCTCACGTTTGCAGAAGCTTGGCCCACAGGGCCTCCGCAAGCTGCCAGCACAAAAGGGCCCCGAATCGAGGGCAGCCCCCGATGTGTCCAAAGCCAACTCCAGCAACACAAATGAAATAGCAATTACCACCAAAATAATAAAAAAAAACCACAGCAACACGCACGGGCTGGCTAACGCCATCTTCTGGGAATGTTCAAGACAGTTCCTGGAAACAGCCTGCTTCAAAACAGAACAAGCCCTTCAAGTGCAGTGGCAACTGGCGGCTGAACTGTCCCGACTTGACAAGCAGCCAGCTTCCGAAGCCCAAGGGGTGAAACCGCAAAATGGATTGCGTTTTCAAGGTTACCCATTTCATGGGGTGGTTTTAAAGGCCCTATCTTGCCGCAGATCCAAAATCATTCATAGCCCACAGTCCCACTTGGTGGGGGGCCAGGGGCCAGGCTCCTGACACTGAAGACTAGTCCCCAGAACATGTCCCCAATTTGCTTGACTGCTCGACTGCTTCAGGGGGGAAGGCGAAGGGGGCTGGGGGCAAAGGGGGCTGGGGGCCACACAGTCAAGATGCTGCAACATAGAACGCAGCTTCGCATTTGCATTTCGGTGAATCTGCCCGACACCATCTCCATTCACGAAAGGAATCGACGAAGCAAATTGTCAGTTGTTCATGTGACCATGGGAAACAACATGCCAGTACGCGCATCACTTCACTTGCGGTAAGCTGCTTGTCGCTGAGACACACTACCAACAAAGCAAAACATATGGTGGTGAGTGGTGACATGAAGTCCTCAACGGAAAGAAAAAAAAAAACATCGAAGAGACATAGAATGAGGGCTTGGTTTCCTCTCGTTGCAAAGTCTAGCTGCCATGTGGCAAGGGGCCGTCGGTTTCCCAAGTCAGCAATATGGACAGGACAATCCACTTCATGCGTCTGCGTATTTCCCACGCGCAAACGGCGGGCGCGTCTGGCATCTTGATTTTCCAGGCTTTGGCCTCCCTTCTGTCCTGAATCATTCCAAACGGTTTCAAAAAACAGAGACACCCCAAATTTTCGGCCTTGTTTCCTGGCATTTCCCCTAGGACTCGCCGTATCCAAAACTAATCCATCGCCCCCCCTTCATGGCCTCGCTGCCGCAGGTTCGGATGAAGAACCTCAGGCTCTCTGTTTTGCGCGCCCGCCGGTTTTTTGGTGGCGTCTGAAGCGGGCGATTCGAAGGCGTGCGGTCGCTTCAAAAAAGGCAATCAGAAAATATTTGGTGGCGCTACAAGGTGTTTGTTGGCTGTGAAAGGGCAACCAGAACCGTTTTCGGCCTTCAAACAAGCACCCAGAACGCCTTTTGCTGAAAGGCAACTGAAAGGAACCCCCCCCTTACAATATGGGTGTCCCCATTTTCAGGCATGCCCAGATGGGCGACGGGCAGCTGACATGTCCAACACTCCCCCAATATCAGGGCTAAACTTCCACATTTACTTGAGCCTCTGAACGACACCATTCGATGAAGAAGCTCGGTTTCGGTCCTTAAAGTGGTGACCATAGGTGGCCTTTTGGACAAATAGATGGCCCTGGTAAATGGAATAAACTACATCTAAACCAGGGCCCTCTAAGCAAACCAACTAAAAAGGACACCTATGGTGGTGAGCCTCAGATTCCACACACCTTCCAGCCTGCCAGGCAAGGAGTGCACTTTGCCAAGGCGCCCTGGAGCCCTACTTGGCCATGCCAAAAGAAAGTGATCGATCCGCTTTTGGATCCCCAGAAGAGCATCTTGCTTAACTTCGGGGGACCAACATATGTACATAAACACATGCCTAATTCAATACCATGTGTATATGTATATATATATATATATATTGCGCTAAATATATACATACCTATATGTATATATATATATATATATATTTGGAGCATTCCCCGTTTTTAATTCAAGTCAAACCCAGTTCACTTTCATCAAACCAGGACGCCTACAAGGTATCACGCGCTCCCAGGTTGCTACGTGCCCAATGCTTTCAATGAAACAGCCTCCGTGTGAGCAACTACTCACTTCAAAATTGGGGGAAGCAAAATCCCTGCACAACTATATATATTATATATATATATATATATTTGTAATACATATATATGACTTTGGCGGGATACTAAGGATAGGATCCCCTAATACGTGGGGGGGGGGGGGGTCCCCCACGTACCGCGCGGCAATTTGATGACGTTCCACTAAACGTAGTCTTCGGGGAGCCGGTGTCGCAAAACAGGGGTCCCAGGCTCGATTCCCCCTGCCGGCTTTTTTGCTGGCTTGGGCTTCCTGCATCCTTTTAACGAAAATCTGGAAAAACTCAATGTTTTTGGGCGTCCTCTTTGCGAAAACGCTGGAAAAACCGTGTTTTTTGCGGGAAATACATACATACATACATACATACATACATACATACATACATACATACATACATACATACATACATACATACATACATACATACATACATACATACATACATACATACATACATACATACATACACATACATACATACATACATACATACATACATACATACATACATACATTACATACATACATACATACATACATACATACATACATACATACATACATACATACATACATACATACATACATACATACATACATACATACATACATACATACATACATACATACATACATACATACATACATACATACATACATACATACATACATACATACATACATACATACATACATACATACATACATACATACATACATATACATACATACATTACATACATACATACATACATACATACATACATACATACATACATACATACATACATACATACATACATACATACATACATACATACATACATACATACATACATACATACATACATACATACATACATACATACATACATACATACATACATACATACATACATACATACATACATACATACATACATACATACATACATACATACATACATACATACATACATACATACATACATACATACATACATACATACATACATACATACATACATACATACATACATACATACATACATACATACATACATACATACATACATACATACATACATACATACATACATACATACATACATACATACATACATACATACATACATACATACATACATACATACATACATACATACATACATACATACATACATACATACATACATACATACATACATACATACATACATACATACATACATACATACATACATACATACATACATACATACATACATACATACATACATACATACATACATACATACATACATACATACATACATACATACATACATACATACATACATACATACATACATACATACATACATACATACATACATACATACACATACATACATACATACATACATACATACATACATACATACATACATACATACATACATACATACATACATACATACATACATACATACATACATACATACATACATACATACATACATACATACATACATACATACATACATACATACATACATACATACATACATACATACATACATACATACATACATACATACATACATACATACATACATACATACATACATACATACATACACATACATACATACATACATACATACATACATACATACATACATACATACATACATACATACATACATACATACATACATACATACATACATACATACATACATACATACATACATACATACACACACATACATACATACATACATACATACATACATACATACATACATACATACATACATACATACATACATACATACATACATACATACATACATACATACATACATACATACATACATACATACATACATACATACATACATACATACATACATACATACATACATACATACATACATACATACATACATACATACATACATACATACATACATACATACATACATACATACATACATACATACATACATACATACATACATACATACATACATACATACATACATACATACATACATACATACATACATACATACATACATACATACATACATACATTACATACATACATACATACATACATACATTACATTACATACATTACATTACATTACATTACATACATACATTACATTACATTACATTACATTACATTACATTACATTACATTACATACATACATACATACATTACATACATACATACATACATACATACATACATACATACATACATACATACATACATACATACATACATACATACATACATACATTACATACATACATACATACATACATACATACATACATACATACATACATACATACATACATACATATTACATACATACATTACATTACATTACATTACATTACATTACATTACATTACATACATACATACATTACATTACATTACATTACATACATACATACATTACATTACATTACATTACATTACATTACATACATTACATACATACATACATTACATTACATACATACATTACTTACGTACATACATACATACATACATACATACATACATACATACATACATACATACATACATACATACATACATACATATGTACATGCATGCATACATACGAGAGAGGGAGATTGGGGAGAGAGAGGCTTGGGGGGATGGGGAGGATGGGAGCAGCGGGAGGGAGAGAGGACGACAGAACACACAAGGGAGACAAGGAAGAGAGGAAGAAGGAGAAAAGGGAGAGGACAATGTCGGCGGACTGAGCCGGAGGCTCTAAAGTATATATATGTATTATATATATATATATGTATGCAACTCAAAACCCTGCTTAAACAGTGGTGCACCACACCCAGACCTTTGTAGTCACAGGGGTCGCAGAATATGCCTGTTCCCCCCCCCACAAAAAACAAAACATGATGACCCCTATACATTGTTCATTTACACAATATTGGGTTCCCAATGGAGAGCACCAAGCAGGGCTCATTTCCCGTTACTTTGTCTTTTGGCATCCAACTGTCCAGCACGCCGAAATCGCTCTCTCAGGCATCGGCTCATCCAGTGACACGTCCTCCTAATGACCAGCCGGGAAGGGCAGCACTTGGGTGGGACTTACCTCTGCCATTCATGAAGAAACCAAACAGAATTACAGCAAGTGGTGTAATGCCATGAGGTCGTTGGCTTTTGTTCAATACCCTTGACACGTTCACATCCATTAGAGGACTTCATTCCTGTTAGGTTGTATGTCTCAACACCTGGCAATCATCCGCTCGTGGCCTCATGTGATGCCCATTGGTTCTGACATACAGCCAGGGCTGTTCTCGCAAGTCCCTACACACTCAAATGTGCGTTGATCACACACCTTAAAATAAGCAAACACGACACCCACATCAGGCTGCAAGCAACACCAGCCTGAAGTGAAGCTTCAGTTGCACTTGGACATGCACCGGCGTAATCAACTAGGAACACAACTGAAACACAAACTCCAGCTGAAAGAGAAAAGAAATGCGAGCCACAATCCAAAACCGCGGCTATTTCTGGTTGAAGTTGGTCCCTGACTCACCTTGATCTACCTGGAGGGTGGCCTGCCTGGTGGCCTTCAAGGGGTCCAAATGAAACCCGCGAGATCAACGTAAGTCTCAGCCTAAGCTCATTTGGGTGTGGGTCAATACCCACAATGGGTTGCCCTGGTAAATGAAAACATGGACTCCTGCGGTCCCCTGGCAGTTTAGTTTTGACCCATACCCATTTGTCTCGTTCACTCTTTCTGAGAGGACTTTTCAACTGGAACAGCCGCTGCCTAGCCTCTTTGACGCAACTTATTGCAACAGTGTCCTTTGTCCTTTGATGAAACAATACAGGTCTCACCACCACACAAGCAACCCAAACAAGGCACCAGAGGCTTACTTGTATTTGCAACCAGAACGTGCTAGAGGGCCCGACCGGCGTCCACTTTCGACAGCTCAACAACGTCCAGTGCAAATGGATTCACCACGAAGCCTGGAAAATCAACGCTCAACACCTTGCGCATTTATGACGACACCCCCCTTTGCCCCAAACGACCAGCGAAGCAGCGGCACACTTTGCCTGGTCTGGGCACAGGCGTTGCCAGATTTGGCGTGCCAGATTCAGCCTGGCACTAAGTCACTAAGGCGATACAAGAGTTGACAGAAGAGAGGGATGATATGTATATATATATATATATGCTACCCCCCCCCCCCCAAGCTGGGACTAGGACCAAACTAGGACTAGACGACCCACCTCAGATTCTTACAAAAAATAAACTTCAAGTATAACTTCCTCTGCAATGTCCTGTATATTTTCTAATTGTTGCAGTAAACTAGGGAGCAACCTAACACTAGAACCAAGGATCTCTCATCTAGGACCAAACTAGGACTAGACCATTTAATTCTACTTCTTATAGTATTTGGATGTCAAGTATTACATTCTGGTGGGAAAAAAGTCCTGTTCAATATGTGGTCCTAACATGTAAATTCTGACTGGATATTCTCCTTATTTCAAATTCAATTGTTCAGCTAGAAGTTGCATAGAACTTGACTAATATATTAACTACAATTCATAACGCACTTCCTTTGTAATGTCCTTTATACGTTCTATGTATTTCAGTAAGCTGGGACCATACTTGGCCTATAACCAAGGATCTCCCAACTAGGACTAGGACCAAACTAGGACTAGCTAGTTCTGAAAGTGATTGAATTTCAATGTACAATGGTCTATTGGACAGAAAATAGTTTGTACCCTTTAATTTGACATAAACAGTCAATATTTAAGTTCGAATCTAAATCGCAATTTTGGCTGGAGTATGTCCTTCTTAAGCTCCATTGAATTTCAATCAGAAATAAGGTTGAATTTGATAAAACATACTAAGTGGAATGCATAAGGAAAGAATCCAGAGGTCCCAAACTTGTGTCTTTCACTAGTCCTAACACTACCTTGGTCAGAAAACACCGTAAAACACAGTGTTGTGTGGCGTTTTTCATACTCAATTCACATCTCCACCAACGAACGCTCTCTAAATGCTCATTTGAACTTGAACAGGATGTAATTGGGACTCAATACGGAAATATTTGGCCAGAATCCTAATGGCAATCAAATTTGAGATTGCGAGTTTAAATAGAGTTCCTTCCCAATATATACTTGCAATTCAATATGAGCTTTAACAGGATTTGATAAGGAAAGAACCCATATTCTCTAGACAAGTCTTCTTTGCAAACGCGAGTCCAGGCCCGAGTGAAACCCATTGAGACCGACTGAAATTTCAGTTGAGCCTGGGTTCAAGATTCCCTAGAAAACTTTGACCTGCAATCTTGAATGTGGGCCTAGATTGAAACAGATTGAATGAATAATCAGGACTTGGATGCTTGCACAACACTGTGCTAAAGTACAGCCGCGCAAAGTGCAATGTTGAATTTGGGTCTCGATTTAAACCGATTTAAATCGATTTAAGTTTAAATCGGGCATGGATTCAAGATTCAAGATTCAAGAATCCAGGCCAAACTTTTCCAGGGATTCTTGAATCCAGGCGTCGATTTAAACCGATTTAAACCGATTTAACTTAAATCGGGCATGGATTCAAGATTCAAGATTCAAGAATCCAGGCCAAACTTTTCCAGGGAGTCTTGAATCTTGAATCTTGAATCCATGCCCGATTTAAGTTAAATCGGTTTAAATCGGTTTAAATCGACGCCTGGATTCAAGAATCCCTGGAAAAGTTTGGCCTGGATTCTTGAATCTTGAATCTTGAATCCATGCCCGATTTAAATTAAATCGGTTTAAATCGGTTTCAACCAAGCCTGAAGCTTCCAGAACGTCCTTGGAAATGCTTCTTTTTCATTGCTCTCCCCAAAGCCCAAAAAAGGGTAGAAAACACTGCAAATACCAGTGAATTCATCAAACAGGTAGGTCCCTGGGGGGGGGTACCACATATATATATATATATATACATATGCATATAAATATATATATATATATATATATACATATGTATAAGCCACGGGCAATATTTCCCCCAAAGGACATGGGCACATTGGGTCATTGAATTGCCAATTGTGGGCCTGCCAAAGTCATTCTAGACTACTGGAAGCTAGGTATCTTGCCCAAAGGCTTCTGAAGCGTCCGTGTCATGTTGGTGTCCGTTTGAGTTCTAAAAGTAAAGCTCTGCTTAAAGCCAAACAACCGGAAGCACAGATCGGTGGGCCAACACAATGAACTCCAATATGGTGTGAATATAACAAGATTCCTTTGGTGTCATAGCCAGACAGCCACGCACATCATTCCACGCATCGGTCTGATTCCTAGAATCCAAAATGGAGGGATGCCTGCAAAAGAGACACCGGCATTCTGCAGCTTTGGCCTTTGGTAAGCCGTGCTTAATTGCAGTCAAGGAGTGGACAGCGAATGCTATTGTCAAACGCCGTCTTGCAAAGAAAAGCATAGAGTCCAGACATTTCGCTGGGGTCAAAACCAATGGTATCATTTTGGGCTGGGTGCACCACCCATCTTAGTCTCTATTTGAGTGGGGATTGGGATGTTCATCCAGGGTACAGACTTTTGACCCATGGCCATTTGGGAAGTACCCCAAAGCTGACAGGCGATCGGCCCTCAAGCTCCGGCCTCTTCTGCTGCTCGATCTGCTGCTCCAGATCCTCCACCTGCGAGTCCCAGGAATTCCACTTGGTCCGTATTGCACCTGAAAATGACCAAACCTGGACATGGATCAATGAAAAAACGACGCACTTCCTGAGTTGGCCAAAAACGTCAGACCAGACTTTTGTTTGCCACCAACATTGTCCCAAACCAACAAGTGATTGAAGTCGCAGTTGTCTCAAACAAACCTCCCGGCCCCTCCATTCCTTGCACGCAGCACCCGCCTGAGCCTCCATGACCCGGTTGTACTCCTCCAAGGTCGCCTAGTGCGCCGGTTTTACGGCTCCGCTTTTCAATTAACCCATGTTCAAGGGCCGATGGATTCGCTGGATCTGGGCACATTGAAACTGACACCTTTGAAGGTTCAAGGGATCCTTGTTGAGACACTGAAAGCCCCAAAAGCCGTGTGTAGGTGATTGGTTCAAGGGAAACCGAATGGCGACAACAAATCCTCCAGGCATCAGTCACTGATTTTGAGAAAAAACACACTTCCATAGAGGGTTCAGCATGGATCATCCCAACGCCAACAAATCCGGCTTGGACAGCTTCACAGCCCGAGGCGCATCGCACGTGAAAAGAAACACAGCCACCCTGACGCTGCGTTCCCGCTCCAGGATGGAATCTGCAAACTCAAGTCGAAACCTAAAGGTGGGGATCTCTGCAAAAAAAAAAAGGATTACATGACAATGATGGTGAGCTCGCTTTCCCGGAAGAGCTCGCCTTGCAACTTGCAGATGCAATGCCCTTTCAGCCGCACATGCCCTGCTACCATGGCATGAATGATAGTTCAATCATTCTAGATATTAAACCAGCAAATGTCCACAGAGTGAGCAAGGAGACACAGTGGTGGGTTGTCTAAACCCCCTTGAAGCACCCCTCAAGAAACATTCTACTAAGCTTGGCCCAGGTGATGGCAACACGTAACCCCCAGCTCGCTTTTGTCGGAGCTTCTCCTGGACAAGCCCAATCTACACCCCGCCGTTCAGACCGAATTTTCACGACGTGGTGGTCAAGCGCCGGGCATTTTCCCTTGTCAGGGTCTCGATCTCCTGGCGGTGCTTGAGCCCTCGAAAAATGCTTCCGCCTTTCAGCTAGGTCCTCCAGTAGAGAGGATAGAATCAGGGTACCCACTTTTTCTGTAGTCTATTTTAGTAGAGGACCCCCCCTCGAAAAAAAGAAAGGGTCAAAGGGCACTACTGGAGGGACCTGGTCAAGTACACAGGTTCAGAAGCAAAAAGTGCGAACTCATTTTGGGGATCAACGGGGATTCGCTCATGGGGATCAAAATACAGCCGTCGCCTTGCTCGGAGGTCTCTGATTCATAACGGTGAGAGGGGCTGCTTGATCAAGTGCCTGCCAGTAGTCCAAAAGACTCTGAATGCAATCTACTGCCTCCGTTGACTTGACTTCAAAGGAAGCCGCCCCCAGCAGAGATCCGCTTGTACCATAGCAGTGCCTCAACAAACGCTCAGCATGAGTGAGGTTGCTTCTATTGTATCGGCCAGTCGAATATTGCCAAGAAGTTGTACGACCTGGTATCATAAAGGTTAAGGTGAAGCCTTATATTCGATTCTGGCCATTTTGGTACAACCAAGAGTCAATCGGTTTTGGCTGAATATTCAACAAAGGCACATACCCCAAGCCCTTTCTGGTTGGCATGCTCACAAGCACAAAGGGGCCTAAATAGTTTCGGCACTTTCCAACAGATATCTTCAGGTTCATACATGTGGATTTCTCAAAAAAGGGACCTCCCCCCCCGGAAGAAAAGGGGAAAGAAAAAGGAAGAACACATGCCCGCATGCTGAAACGTGATACCAATGCAACCAGCTGGCCTCTGCATCAGGGTTCCCGTCCGTGTAACCTGCCAAGAACTGCGTGACCAAGTGCGGGTTGTCCTGGCCGCGCAACTCATGCTGCCGGTGCTCTCGATGTGCTCAAGATGCGGTGGCCGCTGGTGGCGCTTGTTTGCAGTGTGGATGTCTCAAATGGTTGGCCTTCTTTTGGTTGGCCTTTCTTTGGCAAAACCAACAAGGACCACACCAGTTTAGAGAACCATGTTGGGAAGCACCCGCATGGATCTTTTGCAAAAGGATCTTCAAGAGTCAGGCTGATTGACCCGGATGGGAGCGACTTCGGACTTTCAGAGGAATTCCAAGAATCAGAGCCTGACCCAGTAGATCCCACATACCCACTTAGTAGAAACTGCTAGTTTTTCAAAGGTGGTTCCATTGGTTCAGGGTCAAGTATTGATTTGTGCCAGCTGCCAAATTTTGCCGGTGGAACGATTCGCATCTCGTGCTTGATTGCATTCTTGTACCTCAGCTGCCCGAAGTGCCAACGGAGGTCGGGTCTAGTCGCAACAGGACGGACTGATTTCTCAACGATTAGTTGCTTGTTTCGTGAAATCGGCTACCTCTCCGAGAAGTATGTTGTTCTTTGATTCCTGTTGCCGCTTCTTTGGCATGGAGTCGTAGCAACTGTGACGGCCTCATTGCTCTCAAGCAGGCCGCACCCAGACAGGTGGCGGATGCTGCAAGGCACAGGAAGGCCCACAAAGCGCTTGAAGCATGGGGCGCTTTCCGCATGTGGCGAAAGTTGGCAAAGCAGCAGTGAGCCAAGTGCTCTTGCCATTTCCTTTCCTGCTTGGCAAGTTGATCAGTTGTGCCACGTCATGCCCATTGCCGAATCCGACCTCTTGGCGCACACTCTTCTCCGGGCCCGCGGCATCTTCACCAAGCATTGCACGCTGCCTGTGTCTACCTTGGTGCGCATCAGCTGAATTGGACGTGGGCGCAAGACCCAAGGACACAAGTGACTGGCTTAAACATGGGAGATCCCGGTTCCAACGCTTCTCCCCATCCGCAGTTTGTAAAGTCGAACACCCATCTTGACTTATCTGTGAAAGAAGTCAACCCCCCTACTCAAAACACCCGCTTTTTGCAGGGTATTTTTGGGAAAGCCTGGTTTTAGGGTCAACATGATACCCTGAAAACGAGGGTATTTGGAGTAGGGGGAACCAAAAGGACGCGCTTAACTTCAACACCCCGCACCCATGGTCATCTTGGCCAAAGACGTGCAGGTGGCTTTCCTGCCGTGAGGACTCCGCCAATCCAGAATTCACAGCCGCGTCCATTTGTTGCTGTCGTTTGAAGCATTGGGGCTTCCTTTGAGGTGAACTAAAGTTATCCTGGGTGAATCAACTCATCCTTTGAACTTAGCAGCTCCCTATGACAGGAGCCTTCATCACGACTGAAGTCAAACACTCAGGTTGCCAGTAGGTTTGAGGGGTTTGAGGGGTATCTTCAGTCGTACAGAACATCGGTATAGGGAAACTGTCGGTCCATTTCCAGTGACATTCTTAAAATTGCCAAGTACAGTAACCATTAATGGTGGCTGAAATTGGTCCCACTCAACAGTAAGTTGTTTCCAGCCTTAAAAAGCAAGCACTCAAGGACCCAAGCTTTGGACAGCAAGTGACTTTCCACCTTTGGCTGAATTAGACTGATTGGCCCCATTTCAACTCAAAGAGAGATCACTTGTGAGAGGATGTCCAGTGAAACTTCCCCAGGCGCAGCGGCGCAGGGTGCTACTTCCATCGCTGGAACTCGCAACAGTCGCTTGAAAGGCCCACCAACCCTGGACCAACAACTATACCTGGAGAGACTTCATATCCTGGACAGACAACTCTTCCTGGGCAAACAACTTTACCCGAGCTTCCCAGCCAGGTACTTCCGGAACTGCTTGAGCTCCGCTAAGCGTTGCCTGGCGCAAAGGTATGAGACAGCCAGACAGTGGGTCAGTCAGTCGGGGGACATATTGTTTTACTAGCCAGACTCTGGGCGCGGTAGGGAAACCGAAAGGCTGTTGAGAAAACAACACATGATGTTAAACAAGGGGTCGGCCTACCCCCCCTCCCATCTGCAATGCATTGCTCTTCACTATTTTTGAGCGTGGAGACTTCGTCAACGAAGAATCCTTGAATATGATTGGGCTTTTTGATTGGTTGTGGTTGGTTCAAACAAAACAAACAAACCTTGGTTCCTTTCTAGCATCTAGAAGACAAACCAAAGCAGCATTCACAAATCGGGGATCCTTTCGAACATGGTCAAAGGTCTGTGGGCCCGGTCAAAAATCCTCGCGCAGCAGCAAGTAGCAGCTAGCTCTGTTGACGTGGTCCTCTTTCGGAATTTGAAAGCACCGGTTCTTCATGGTTCCCCTCTCAACATCGCCCCACCAAGAAGAAACTCACCCAAAAAACAGCGATCAGAAGGTGCTTAAAACCAACAACAAGAAACATGTTGGGAGCCCTGACAATGCTGGTGCCGGGCCTTTGGTGGCAAAATGTGAAATCTGCAAACAGCCGTCAGCCGTCCGGCCCAAGCACGAGACTCCTGAAACAAAAGCCTTCCACGTTCTTCCTTTGACACCCTTTTTAGGGAAGCCAAGTGACTTTTTCTACGCAGGTTTGTACAGGCCTTGTTTCTACACCGTGAGGGCGCCTTTGCGTGCCCAAACAAGGGGGTCAAAAGGTGAAGCCCGTTAATATTCGAGAATGGCACAGAGTGATCTGTGCCGGCTTACCGGCGGTCAAATAGGGTCCGAGAAGCTGCAAATACCTCGCAATGCCAGGCGGCGAAGCCAAACTCTGCGGCTCACGGCGCACGCAACCCGCAACTGGGCGCATCTCTTATTACTTTCATGAAAAGTCATAGCAACTCGTGAATATCATACGGACACCCAACAAACTTCCAGGCGCCCCTTATTTATGGGGCGCTTGTTGTTGGGGCCCTCACATATTCCACGTAGACTCAACGGGATGTACATGCTGGTACGCGTTTCCTATATCTCACTTTCAAACCAAACTAAAACCAACATCTCCTTTGTGGCCCTATGTGAAAGCAAGGGGAAAACCCACACCCAGGAAGGGCTCCTAGCACTTTCTTCAAAAGTGCTCTTAGAATAGTTCTGACAAACCTTTCTGGGAGGTATCTGGAGAGTAGGGGGGGCTCTTTACGGTACAGTCTCTCGTGAAATGCAGGCCAAAACTGGGAAAGGTCAAAGGTCACCTTTGCAACACGTGGATTTTTTGTCCGGAAATTCCGAAATTGTGGCGTTGCGTTTGTTTCTCTTTAAGCCGATGTAGAAAAGCATCCTCCAAAACCTGGCAGCCGTGTTCTGATACCCATTTGAAGCAACAGCTGGCCTCTCTGCAACATCCTCCGGAGAGATCATGGGAGGAAGCCGTTCCTGTCCAACGACCCGAAGACTCACATGCATCCCCCCCCCAGCAAATGGGTACGTGTGCCTGCCTGCTTAGATTAAAGCGAAACCAAAAGGAAAGCCACATTTTTTGGCCCTCCCCCTCCAACTCCCCCCCATATGGAAGTGTTTTGTGAAGGGGGCTGAAGCCAGCCTAAAACCAACAGCCCCGAATTTTGGAACCCCCCCTCCGGCCTGCTACCTCCGTGCATCACTCAACATCAATAAACCGCGTGAGCCATTAAAAAAATCGCCAAGCGCGGCGGTTCGCCACGAGGGGATCATTCACCAGCTGACTTGTGTGGAGACCTATTCTGTGGATCGGCCCAATGGTCGTTTGCCATCGGCAAAAAAAACCATCGCCTCGCGAAGATTATTTGGGGGGCCTGACAAAAAGGCTGCTCTCTGCGTCCGAAGCTTCGGAAGGGACTGTTGGCAAAGTAAAAGGCAATGTCCCAGATACGAAGAGCAAAGATGCCCAGAGGAGCAATTAAGCCAAGAAGATGACAAGCAAGACACAATCAAGCTCGCGCCTGGTCATCCTGCCACGCCGACATTTGGAATGGCAGGATGCGACACTCGTCACTGGACTAGTTGTTTCTGGAGCCAATGGTTCCAGGGCTCCTCGCGTGCTTGCTATGTGCATGCAAAGGTTGCACCATGAACGCTTCGTCAGTTTCTGATTTCCTGGTGGGGTCAAGTGGCCTGCTTTTTGCCCCGCATGCACCTGAGCCACTGGGCAATGGGCAAAGGCGGAAACGAAGCTGAGGCGTCGAGGAAACCAAAAGGATCCGGTCGACAGGAAGTCCGTCTATCACTTGCACCCCATCCAAATGGCCGGTGCCGAAAAACACATGACACACCGTTTGGTGGTGCCCAAGCACCCCCCCAAACAAAAACGAAAGAAGAGAAATATCCACCGTTTGGTGGTCCCCAAGTTTCTTAAGCCAAAGAAAGCAATGTCATGAACTAGCTCAACTACGTTGCCATGGCAGAAACTAGTTCAACCAATGCAGGAGCCATGCGAGTGGAGAACACTCTGCAAGCGGTGCAAACGTGCATGAAATGAACATACTAAACACAAGCACAAACACGGAACTTCAGTAGATGGCAAAAACAAATCAACCCCAGGCCAACAGTATCTTTTCTGCACCCCTCACCCCAAACTCAATGTTGAACTGTCAGCGCCAAGCTAATACGGTTGGGGGTTTGTGTTGTTTTGTCCACTGGGCCCGTGTCCCTGCAACACATTCCGATTTTAAGATTTGGGGCCGGAACGGTAGACTCATGGCAAAGGGTTGCAATAGTTCGTCCAACAGTACCGTGTGGTGGATGCAGCATAGTTACTTGCGGCCTCAAAGTTACTGAGTCGCCTTTCCAAAGCCATTTCCATTGCCGTTTCCAGAAATCCATGGCTCTGCCCATGAGTCCAGCAAAGTGGGCTTCCCTTGTTGAAGAATGCTTGTTTTTGAAAGAAAATGAGATTCCTTCGATTCATTGGTGGTGCTGTGGTGTACTGGAAATGGCAATGGAAATTGCTATGAGAGCGCGCATAGCATGGTTTGTACAGAAAAAACATTGTAAATTTGAAGTCAGCGCAATTTGGTTTTGAACAAAGTCAGTAAACTTGAGGTCACCGCAATTTGGCTACGGAAAAAATCATTTGGCTGCAAATTCGAGGTTGGCGCAACTTGGGTATGGAAAAAGACTGTAAATTTGAGGCGTCCGAAATGTGTATACATAAATGTTGCTTTTGAGCCCGAAGTACTAGGGGTAAGCTTGGACAGCTGAGTGCTGGCCATCATGCTTGTACGCAGTTCTCTGATTTCTTGTTCTTTCCAGGGTGCCAGAAATCCCGGTCCCCAAGGACCGGGGATTGCTCAGCTCTGCCCGCAAGTTTGGGGTGCGTGGCAAGCTTGGCCGGCACACTGTAAGGTGCGCCCACGATTAGAAAACAATGTTTCTAGGGGTTGATTCCCCATTCTTGTCAACCAGCGTTCTTTTCAAAAACTAGCCGTTTTCCCTACTGGGTTTCAGGAGGTTTCTAGAAAGAAGGATCCCTGGAAAGAATAGGGAAGGTATCCGACGAATGTTCTACTGCTGAACGCATGCTTGCAGAGACCCTGGAAGGCATTAAGAAAAAATAAATTCCAGGTTGGCCCTTTCTTCTTCCATCACACGGAAGGGGGCAGGGACTGCGTGGAAGAAGTTCGCTCGCGGATGAGTGGCAACTTTGCCTAGAGAAAAAAACAAACAAAAGACAGAGTGAGACATACTGTATAACTGACAGAAGCCGTCACATTGTCCACCGGAAAAAAGGGCCGACCAATCACCTGGCAAGTCAGACTATGTTCAGATGCTTTTCCCGAAAGCGTAGCAAAGCGTTCTAGCGCAAACAAGGCTAGCTCTGCTGCACATGACGTCTCAACATAGCCTTGCCGCACATCACATTTCAACCTAGCCTTGCTGCGCAGCACATCTCAACATGGCCTTGCTTCACAACGCATCTCAACATACCCTTGCTTCACAGCACATTTCTAGAAAGCCTTGCTTCACAGCACATGTCAACATAAACTTGCTGCACAGCACATCTCAACATAGCCTTGCTTCACAACGCATCTCAACATACTCTTGCTTCACAGCACATTTCTAGATAGCCTTGCTTCACAGCACATCTCAACATAGTCTTGCTTCACAACGCATCTCAGCATAACCTTGCTTCACAGCACATCTCAACATAGCCTTGTTTCACAGCACATGTCAAGATAAACTTGCTGCGCAGCACATTTTAACATAACCTTGCCTTACAGCACATCTCAACATAGCCTTGCTTCACAGCACATGTCAACATAAACTGGCTGCGCAGCACATCTCAACGTAACCTTGCCTTGCAGCACATCTCAACATAGCCTTGCTTCACAGCACATGTCAAGATAAACTTGCTGCACAGCACATGTCAACATAGCGCTTGCTGCACAGCTCTACTCTGCGCGACTCTGCTTTGCACAGCTCTGCCCTGTAACTCTCTTAGCGTCGTTCTGGGGCTCCTGCCCGAAGGCGATATGCCGGGCTGGAACGACAGCATGACCAGCTGGAGCGCTCGCTGGTCCTGAGGCTCGCGCTGTAACTTGACGCCTGTTGACTGAGACAAAACGAAAGACGCGCCTCGGGGCGGCGCGCCTCCGCCGGGCGGCACGCCTCGGCCGGGCGCGAATCCGCGGCCTCCGCGCTGCGGGAACCTCGGCTCTCGGGAAGTTTGGCGAAGCGTTCCAACGGTGAGAAGGGAGGGTTGTTCAGAGAACTGAAGGTGAGCATGTGAAGTCTCTATGTCTCCAAAAGGTGGAAGGAGACACGGTTACCAAGCAAGCGCCTTGTGGACATCATGAAGCTAAAGGCCTTGGATGCGACATGTGAAAACGCTGAAATTTTGCGAAAAGAGGCTAACTCACTAAGTACTCAGTCTGGAAACACCTGCGCAAAGTGCATGCGCACATCAAAGTTCAAAGTCAAGTAAGAACTTCCACTTTTGAATTTCAGCAATCGAATGACTTCTTTGAATTATCATTTGAGTGCCCCCATGCTTTGTCAAGAAGGCAGGAGCAAATCAAGTGCCACCCCTTTCGGATAATTGTTTGCAAGGTAAGGGAGCTCACGATATCCCGAAATATGCGCTCTCAAATTTGCCATGCGGCAGGGGTGATCAGCTGTGCACCTTTTGGGAAACCATGAGTGCGGGGGAAATGAGAGTCCAATGTCAGGAATGTTTACATATATGGAAAAGGGGCATCAAGCAAGCTTCTGCGAAAATATGACCTGGAGCATGTGAGTATCTCAAACCACATGACTACCCTGAACAATGATCGGTCTTGGAGGGAGGAAATGCTGATGGACCAAGCGCCTAAGGAACTGCAACCAAGGCCCATGCATGTTCCCGTTCAGCGCGTGCTGTTTGCGGTTCCTCTCCTCAGATGGTAATGGATCACGATATCCCGTCAAGCCCGTTGTTTGAGCACCCTGCCCGTCTGCTTAAGAAGAAGACGGGAGAGGTCACCTGCAACGGTGCTGGCAAAGAATGTAGTGAGCCTTTAAGTCCCATGCTGCCTGTGTGTTCGGCTTGCCCTTGAAGCCGACCTTGGCCCAACATAGCAGCTGCAGCATGAGGGGCCAAAGGAATGCTACACAAAACCAAGGGACTCGATCTAACACCTAAAGGCACTCGACCCCAGAAAAGCAACAACATGAATCAAACCCGTGCCAGACATGTGTGTGTTTGGTCATCGCAGCGCCACATAAGCAGGCGAACACATGCAACGACCACCCACAACCGTGAACATGCCTACTTTGTCGGGAAAACATCAAACGCTTAGGATACAACTGCAAGCACCTGAAGTACAACAATGAAACTACCTCCAACTTCCAGCTACCAGTAGTGAGCAAGTGTGAAAAGTTAAAGCGCAGGATGCAGATACATAAAACATCACCAGCTGGGGACCTGGCTGTCGGGCGCACCGACTCTTTCTGCCAAGACGACGGGTGCCAGCGGCTCTCTCACAGAGCCCCCGCCTTGGCGGCGCTGCCGCTTCATGAAGCCCGCCTGCTCACGCCAGGCACCAGACCAAGACTTTTCGACAAAAGCAACACTTACCAATCGCACCATGATATATTTATATGATTAGACTGTCCAAAAGTCCAGAAAATGCGCAATCACCAACTCAATTGTGTTAAGTTGTTCTTTTGCAGAGGAATTGCCACCGATACTTCTTAATTGTATTTTATCCAGCTTATACGAAAACATGTATACATTCTGCTAGTCTCAACATTCAAAACCGCCACAATATCTGTACCTCAACGAATCGCCACCCGTGCCGCAAGACATGCGCTCCTCAACCTTTAAAAACGCAGGCCCTGCCACGGAGTTCAAACTTTACAATTGAGTAGCAAACGGACGTGCCTTTTGTTCCGAGTCGCAAACCTGGGTGGCAAACAAGCCCGCTTGCATGTGAGTAGGAAACAGGAGCGTCCTTTCTATTTGTGTGCACTGTTGTCATTTCAGTCTGTTGGCTACTCTTTTGTGCAAAGCTTACCTTTAACTAGTTCAGACACCAGGCATGCTCTTGGAACAACTTCCTCTGATTACTGCCTGAATGCAACCATCAATCATTACAAATACACATGCACGTATCTGAGACAAGAAGCATCCCAGAGTATCGACCTCTCGGCTTTGCTTTAATATAGGATGTTGCGATCCATTAGTCTATAATGATTTTCCCTGTCTGTTGCTTTTGCTTTTGCTAGGATCTTTGTTGAGTCTAACCTGCTTTGTCATCAGTCCTATGGAGGCCACGAACCTGCATGCAACTTGCCTGTTGACGTGTTCGCTTGACCACATGCTGTTTGTTGCCGAAAGCAAACTGAATTTGCGGCTTGCCTAAGCAGCGCGCCCGGGCAGCGTGCCTGAACAGCGCGCCTAGGCAGCGAGCGTAGGCATCGTGCCTAAAGGAAACAAGTGGGGAGACAAAGAGCTGACCGAGCCAGACCAGCTCGCGACAGCCTCCAGCCCAGCAAGCGCGTGGGGAAACAAGTACGGTTTCAAAGAGCTGACCAAGCCAG